ATTCTGGGATTGTGTGATCATGCCCAGCTGTGGCCATGGCACTTCTCCCTCCTGCAATGGGGAGGGCTCTGCTGCTCATGCCTGCATTGTTCTCTCCTCCAAGGTAAAGAAGCCAGCGAAGAAGCAGGCCTCGGAGTTGTCAAGGAAACCAAATCAGAAGGAGAAGAGGGGCCGAGCAGAGGAGAAACCACGGAACAAGTCAGCAGCTCCCCTCCCCACCTTGACGCTTTCTTCTTGTGGGGACAGGCCCTCCCTGGCTGGCACCCCGGCATGGGGATGGGGCTCCCGTGGAGGGGCTGGGCTCTCCCCTCCTGTCTCCTAGATCTGAAGGGGCTGGAGGAGGTGTTGGGGGGCACCAGCCTGAGCTTCCCTGGTGTTTTCTGTCTCACAGGGGAAGATCCTTGGGATGTTGCTTTGGGGCTTTGCCTTTCTGCAATCCCAGGAAGCTGGGGCATGGGGGAGCTGCTGTCTCAGGGCTCCTGTCTGCCTGTGAGCTGGGAGATGGGTGTGAAAGCACGGGGAGGAGCGTGGCAGGGCTCTGCTGCCTGGCTGGCACCGTGGGGCAGGCTGGGGGGATGCACCAACATGTGCCATCGTCCTTCTTGTTAGCCCAGCACCGAGCAGGGGGTTTCAACGGAATGGTCTCGCCTCTTTCCTTTTCCTCTCACAGACCTTTGAAAGTGGAACGAGGCCGTAAGAAATCTGACCTGATCCCTGAAAGGAGGATGGAGAAGAAAAAGGGTGAGAGAGTTGTTGCTTTGCCATCGCAGAGGGGAGGAGAGGGAGAGAAGGGATCCAGGGTTGGTTCCCCTATCCCAGGGAAGGGATCTTTCCCACAGGGATTGGTGTGGTTGTGCTGGGGCCCTTCCCAGCACTGCTGTGGTCCCAGCAGCGCACTGGAAAGTATTCACAGGGTGTGCAGAGACAGTGAGCTTCCCTTTATACATCCCCTCCCTTGGCACACCCCAGCCCTTCCTCTTCAGAGAGGCCCTGGGGGCTATTTGACCTTGGAGACACTGGAGGAAACCAAACCCTCGGTGGGAGAGAGGTCCTGGGCTCCGGGCAGTGCCGTGCTCTCCTCCGGTGGCCTCATGCCTCAGACTGTCTCTCTTGCTGCCCCAGAGCCCACAGTCGAAGAGAAACTCCAGAAACTTCACAGCGAGATCAAGTTTGCCCTGAAGGTGGATAACCCGGTGAGTGCCCCAGAGCATTGGCCTGGCCTGGGAGCTTCCTGCTCGTCGTATCCTTGGCCACCGTGTGAGCCTTGCCTGGCCCCAGTACCTGGCTGAGCCTCCTCTTGCCTTTGTGGGTGTTGGGTGGCATCAGGGGACCGTGCTCCACGCAGCGCTGCCCCAGGTGCCCGCAGGGAGACTTCCAAGCAGCTTCTGAGCTTAGTGCCATCCTTGCAGGACATCAAGCGGTGTCTGAATGCACTAGAGGAGCTGGGCACACTCCAGGTCACCTCTCACATCCTCCAGAAGCACACTGACGTGGTGGCTACACTGAAGAAGGTAGGGCAGGGGGCTGAGTCCCTCCCCGGAGGGAGCGAGGGGCCAGTTTGGGCCACCCCAGCTCTAAGGGTGTCCCTCCCCCCTGTTTCTGGGGCAGATCCGTCGCTATAAAGCAAACAAGGACGTGATGGAGAAAGCTGCCGAAGTCTACACCCGGTTGAAGTCACGTGTCCTGGGACCAAAGATGGAGGCGATCCAGAAAGCCAACAAAGCCGGGCCTGAGAAGGACAAGGGGGAGACGGAGAAGGGCCAGGAGAAGCTGTCGGGAGGGGAGACACGGAACGAGAAGGGGGAAGAGGAGACGAATGCTGGTAATGCTCCCTGCACGCCTCGGGGTGGTTCCCTGCTCAGTCTGGGCACGTTGTGATCCCGGGGCCCTTCTTGGGGCACGTCCCATCCCGCTGGGGACCGGGGACACGAGGAGGGGCAGCTCTTGGCCTCGGTGGTGGGGAAGGGGGATCAGCACCCGCACGTGGCACCTCCATTCCTGTTTGTGCGGGTGCCAAGAGTGGGAAAGGACCGAGTATCAAACACTCGCAGCAGTGAGAGCAGAGGGCAAAGCTCCACGGCCACGCCCTGGCTTTGGGTGCCTCTGGGCTGATTTTTGGGCCAGGATGGCTCCTGGCTGCCAGCTTGAACGCTGGTTCAAGGCACCGGGGAGATGGAGGAATGCGGAGACGCCCTTGGATGCCGGCACCGGCTCTTGCGCAGGCAGCTGGTGACTGGGATCTTCCACCCTGGTAACTGGGTCCCTGCCTGGGGACGTCCTGGTGATGCTGCAAGAGCCTTCCCCGAGGAGCTGATGGCGGGAAAATCCACTCTGACGTGTCTCTGGGCTTGGCGACGGGGTCTTTGGGGGGAGTTTGGGGCCCTTCTGGTAGCTGTCGGGGTCAGGCTGGGGTCCCCTTGCTCTTGGCGGGGTGGCCCTTGGTGGGATGGGGACAACCTGTGTCTGTGGGTCCGCAGGTGGGGGTGGATCCAAGCAGGGTGACCTGAGCTTTTCTCTTCCCTTTAGACTTGTCGGGTCCTGTGAATGGTGAATCCCTGTCCCAAAAAGCAGAGGGCACAGAGGAGAAGGACAAAAGCCAAGAGCCGGGAGCTGGGGAGCCGGAGGCGTCCGCCGAGGAGCCCCACAACAAGTGAGTGTGTGAGGGGCAGGGCTGGGGGTGCGGGAGCTCCCCTTGATCGTCTGAGTGGGGCTCTCCCCTGGATGATTTCGGGAGTTGCAGGGGTTGTGTTGGGCTTGTCCCAGGCTCGGGTGGGAGCGTGGGGTGCGGGAGAGGGGCAGCCACGGGCAGGGGAAGGCAGAGAGGAGGGGAAACACTGGCTGAGGCGCCTCTGCTCTCCCCAGCAGCGTGCAGGACTATCCCAAGGCCGAGCGAGCCGGGCCGGAGCGGGAGAGGGCTCGCGGGGAGTCGGAGGCTGTGGATGACGCGGAGGAGAGCTGAGGACGCGGCTCCCGCCCGGAGCAGGAGGAGGTGGAGGGGCTGCGAAGGGAGAGACCGGCCTCTGCCCCCTCCCCTGCTTGAGTTACTTCACTAAGTCACGCAGTAGCTGATGTCCTAGGTCTTGTCCTGTGCCCCCGGCCCTGCGAAAGCACCGACCGCGGCGGGGGCTGTGCTGGTTGTCTGTATTTGTTCCCTCCTCCCCAACCCCCCCTTTTTGGTTTTGTTTTTTTGTTTTTATTTTTTTGGTTTGGTTTTTATTTTGTTTTGCCCTCCTACCTAATTTCTTGTGATTTCAACCGACATGAAATGAATATAAAGGGTTTTTTAATGAAAAACAGAAGGAGCCCTAGTGTCTGTTTCTTGAGGAATCTGCTGGGGTCAGGGGAGGGCAGGAGCGTCCCCCCCAGCACCGGAAAATGCCCCCATGGGTCCCTCCCCCTTCCCTTGGGCCCTGCCCCACCCTATGAGCCAGGACCAGGCACCCATAGGTGGCCCTGGCGAGGGGAGCGGGATGGGGTGAACCCGGGCTCTGCCTCAGTCACGGGGGCTTCTCCCTTCTGCCCCCTTTCCCCACCATCATCTTCCTCTGGCCAGAGGTGTCCGCTGGAGCCGAGTCCCTCTGCTCCAGGGGAGGCAATAGGGCTGGGTCCCAGCTTTTGGGTTAAAAACAGAAAAAAAAAATGGTGTGTTCTCTCCTAACTCACCCAGGGAGGGACTGAACCGTGGCAGCATCCTGCCTTGTGCTGGGCAGCATCTTTGGCTGTTTGTCTGCTCTTTTGCAAAGATCCGAAGCTTTTGTACGTGTAAAATAAAGATGTTCCCAGCTCAACCAGACGCTGCGTCCTCGAGTCGTGTTTGTGCCATGGTGGCAGGGCAGGAGGATGCCCCGACCCCGCTTGGAGGCTGCTGTTGCCGTAACTCTGCCCTAGGGACGGTTTTGTTGGGCGCTTTTTTTCGGTTTTGTTTTTTTTTCCAGGACTGATTTCATGCTCCAGCCCTCCGTAAACAAAACCCAAATAAAAACCCCTAAAAAATGCCCCATGTGTCTCTTGCCCAACTGCCGGGAAGTGGGAGGCGGGGGTGGGGGAGAGAGATGGGTGCTGCTGCTGGGTGCGGGATCAGGGGCTCAGCGCCTTCCTCAGGCTGGGGACATGTCGGGGCAACGCAGACCCTGATGTGGGGTAAGGTGGTTGGGGACACGGGGATGTGTCACTGCACCCAGGAGGGGATGTTAAGCCTTGCACTGCCCCAGCAAGGGGCTTGTGTGAGCCATCGCCCTTGTCAGGGGGATTTAAAGGCCTGGTCTGTGTCCCCCCCCAAACTCCCCCCTGGCCTTTGGCTCTTGCAGCCCCCATGGTTGCAGATGGCAGCAGTGGGGGCAGGGAAGGAAAAACACAAAGACGTGGACGTGAACATGAGCAAAACCATGTTGGTGCCACCGAGGACGCAGCAGCAGCGCCAGGGGTTGGCCATGGCTGGTTGAATTCGGGGGATCCCTAATTTTGGGGGTGTGGCGGGAGGGAGTGTGCACCAGCAGCCTCAGGAGCATCCTCTGGCCACGGCCCTGTCAGGTGCTGGAGCAGGAATACCATCAGTGCTTCACAGGCCTGGGCCACCAACTCCTGTTCTTGGGCCACCATGATCCCCAGCAAGTCCCACAGGGACCTGGCCCAGCTGAAGGCACCATGGAGCTCGGCCACTGCCTGCCACAGCAGGGCCCGCAGCCACCGCAACAGCGTCTGAGTGTCACTGGGGGTCTCAGGATATAGGGGTCCCCAGGTCATTGGGGTGGGGACACAAAACACAGACTTCCTCCAGAATTCTCCCCCTGCCCCATGAGCCACCCTCAGCCATGGGCTCTGCTCAGGCAGTGGAGGGAGAAGCCAGTGTCCTGGAGACTCAGCACCACTGTCCCCTCCTGTCCACTCAGCCCCTGCGAGGTCACACACATCACATCACAGCCCCTGAGCCCCGACCTGGGGTGCATGGCGCCATGGGGACCCTGAAACCACCTCCCCCAGACAAAGAAAGTTGAATCCAGTGCAAAACTAACCAGAGTTTATTGCTTCATGCACCGTCCCTGCCGCTACAAGACCAGGGGCTTGAAGGCACCGAGGATGAGGGGGCACAGGGGATCAAGCCGGGGGCTGGAGGTGACCCCGGTAGGCACTTGGGGGAACCAAGGCACATAACTGCCCATCCCTGGCACAGGTGACAAGGGACAGAGCTGCACATGGGGCAGGCAGGAGGCCCCTGCACAGGCAGGCACTAAGGTTACAGGCAAGGTAGGCCAGGCAGGGGTTAGTAGATGCTCCTAGTAAGGCTTGGGGAGGGGGAGACTAACATCACCCCACCCCAGAGGATGCTACTTAGTCTCCAGGTCCACCAGGTGCTGGCCCGAGGGGGCAAAGGGTCCCACCAGCCAGGTCAGGGGGGTGTTGTGGGCCACGTGCTCCACCAGCTCATCCATCAGCTGGCGAGCTTTGGCGACACGGGCCCGGGCTTGGGCCAGCACGCTGCCTGTCACGTCCTGGAGGGAGGTGGCGGAGGTGAGGGCTGCCCGTAGCTCCTCCACGTTGTGCCGGACCTGCCCAGCCTTGTCCTGGATGCTGGCAGGGAGGCCCTGGAGGCTGGACACCAAGGGCTGGCAGGAGCTCTGGAGCTGCTGTGTCAAGCCCTGCAGCAGGGCCAGCGCGCCCGACTCCACCGGCTGTGGGGGGAAAAAGAGGGTGGTGAGAGGTGGGGGACACAGCGGGTGACCCCAGGGACCCCCCTGCTTGTCACCTACCTCCGGTGGCACCATGTCCTTACCACCGCCAGGCTGCTTCTTGCTCCACTCCAGCCACATCTGCTGCAGCTTCTCCTGCCCTCCCTGCAGCTTCTGGTCCATGCCCTGCTTGAGCTGCTCCACCTGGGAGGAGAGGCAGAAATGGCAAACGATTGTCTCAAACCTTGCTCGTGTGTGTGTGTGTGTGCAAACCTCAAGGACAAGCTGTGGCCTCTGGGTTAGGCTGAGGAAGGTCCCCCAAGGACGTGGGAGGTATGGAAGGCCGCGCCCCCTTGCAGCTGCATTGTCAGACTCCTTAGATAAACCTCAAAGCGGGGGGGACATGGGCTGTGTGAAACCAAATGTTTATCACGGGCTCCATCGTGTAAACCCGGCACTTTGTGGCTCTATTGTGTAGGCCAGACCCCACCCGGGCATTGCTAATGAACTGGTAAGAGGTGAGGTTGCTGCCCCACCACAACCCGCGGGATTAAGCGGCATGAAGTCAGCAAAAACCTGTGGGAACAGAGGGAAAACTAAAAGGGGAGCAGGGTGGGTCCGACCACCGACTCAACTGGACCCTTAAGGGGCGGTGCACCCCGTTTCCCCTCAGTGCACACGCAGGGCCCGTGCTCCACCTTTTTCCTCATCTCTCATGGAAACAAGTTTGTGGAATACCTGCCCCTCCTCGTCTAGTATGCTAATCAGCTGATAAGATGTATTTTAAAAAGGCGACGGTAACCTTTGCTGTGTGTGCACCCACCACTGAAGAACTGGAGACTGCGGACCGACGGAACGCTGCTGGATCCATGGGGGTGACTATTCCTGCAGCTCTGCTCTGGGCACTTCATTTCTGTCTTTTCCTTCCCCTCCATCCTATCGCTACCACTCTTTTAATAATAAAAACTGGTTTGGGTATACAGCATTTGACCTTGGTTTTGTCTTTATCTCGCTCTTGGGATCATACCGAAACCTCCCCTGACGCTGGATCAGGACAGTGGGTGCTCTGCTGCAGCCCCGGGGGGGGGGGGG